TTTTTTTGTGATAAAATAAAAAACTTATAGTTGTTCTACTTCTGAACACTGATGAAAACACAAAATGATGGGCTTCATCAACAATCAAAAATATATACATTTATTTTACAAATTCCATATTATTAAGGTGACGTCCTTCAGAGAATTAAAAATACAAAATTATCTTCATCAAAGCCGATGATTTTCATCCCGCGTTCAGTGGCAGACTACTATTTCATATTGTTTTACAACACATGGTTTTAGCCCTCTGGTGGGAAAGACTTTAAAACAAAACTTACAACAGTTACTTTTCTCAACAACTGAAATTTAGAATAGTGTGTGATTAAGAAAAATATGTGAACTGTTTGCAATTTCAAATTAATATTGAAATGTATATAATTCTCTTACGTGGCTCCCAAATTTTGGCTGTATTTCTTTTCCGCCGGTGGCAACGTTTGCTTTGTTTTGTTTACGTTACTACTTCTCTTACACGGTGAATCGATCCATGATTGCCGCTAAAAATGTCACATGCCAGATCCAGTTGAGGTGGCTCAACATATAGCGCTTTTAAAAACAGAAACTTAAATAACCAGAGAACATCAGCTGCAGCAATCTCATAGCTAGGCAGAAGTGAGTAGTCTTTGTCGATAGATCTCTATTTTAGTATTTTTCGAAAGCGCTTTTTTTCATGAATTTATATATTACGAATTTATTTGACGATTTTTTATTTATATTACGAATTATACTATAGCACATTTCTAATAGGTTTAACAAATTACATGTCATTTATTTGAATTCAAATTTATTTTAATAACTTAGTATTTACTAAAAAGATGGGTTATTTTCATGTGGGTCGTGGTGTGGCGGTTGTCCCTCGGTGCCACACTCCTAGTGAATCGTTTGCAGCCGAACATGGCACCGCCGCACCCGTCTCGGGCTTGTCCCCTCGGCCTCCTCTGTTCGTCGAACGACAGTGTTGCTTTTGTCGGGCGTGACTCGGGGCCATGGAACCCTGTGTCCATGCACCGCTGGGTCCACTGGACGATTCGAGGATACACCAACGATGGTTTTCAGAATACCTGGGTGCCCCGTTACGGGGCGGAACATGGTTAAGTTGCGCTTACTAAAAAGATGTTTTATATGCTGTAAATATTACTACTGGGTTATTTTCATGTTTTGATACTCATAAAGGCTTGTTTGAAATGTATTTTCTTTATAAATTTGATAGTAATTTATGCAATTTTGAAATATCCTACCTTGTAAGGATTCTACTTTTCTTGTAGTCAAATTTTTATGGCTGGATCATCCTTATTGTACGAGTTCTTTGTAAAATCTTACCGGAACACCGTTGTGCCATTTTTCGTGTAAATACTGATTAATTCAATTTACTTAATGTGAATATTTCTTGATAGGATTTTATTCGTGATATTTAAATTGAAACGGATGCACCTGTATTTAATCCCTTACATGTTTTTCCTGGAAAATTCTTGATGTTATGATTTCTTGTTAATATGTGTATAAATTACGAAGTTTTGCAGAGTGTTAAGCTGTGGGGATTTTGATGTTACTCCTTACCTGTTGTAATATTTACTACGGGATTTTTGTTCGTGTTTTGTTACTCAAAACGGCTTGATTTTTGTGACTTTGTAACCCTTGATGTTTTAAATAAATCTCTGCGGCCTTCCGGAATGGGGCTGGCCAAGTGGATGGCGGTTTGGGGGGCTGCCTTGCGCGTGCAACAGCCAGACTGTCGAAATTTTAATTTTTGCTCATTCATCCCTTCTTTCGCACCCGCCATTGCAAATTGCTCTAGATCATGGGCCTCCCTGTCGACGCAAGTGTTGCCACCACATCGTTACCAAGTTAAAGTGCCAATCTTTTACTGATGCAGGTCACGTACGCGCAAAGAGTTCTCAGTATCACCTGGATGCCCCCTTGCGGGGGCGGTCATTTGCGGGGGCATTTTTTTTAAAAAAAAAGATCATTTGCGGGGGCATTTTTTTTGTAAGCTGCGCTTACAAAAAAAAATGTATTTTTTTTAAAAAAAAAGTTTTTATATGGATTTGAGTGATTGTTTTGAATTCTTAGAATTTTGTGCATTTGCAATGCACCTAAGTTAGTAGCGAGCGAAGCGAGCTTGGTTTGCGAAGCAAACCATATAAGATTGCGTAGCAATTTTCGGGGGTTGGCGAGCGTTAACGAGCAGGGGGTGCAGCCCACTAGTAATTAGAATAGCTTTATCAGTTTTAGATTTGTGAGGACTGGAAAAAGACTGACAAAACCGATTTTTGGACCCTGAATATTTGGTTTCTTTTTCAGGATTAGATGAGCAGATTTCCTTAGAAGAGTATCTTCATCAAATAAAAATTATTTTGGGCCTTCTAACTGATTCATTTTCAGTTTAGCACTGATGATAATGCTTAGAACCACGATATGTCTTATGAGTTAGAGCGTTCGCCTCCCAATGATGTGAGGTTCAAATCCCGGCGCAGGCTGGTTGATACGAATTCTGGTAGACGGATCAGGGATTAGAATCTCCTAGCCATGGGAGGTTTTCGTGCCTGTCCGCAAATGTGGGTTAACAGCGTAAATGTGGGTTAGCGTTTGTTTACATAAATGTCCCCAATAACGCCCTTTCTTTCTAACCCGAATCGTATCTCAGATATAATCCCGTTAAAGACCTTTTTTTTTAAGGGGCAGCCCATTTTTATCAGTCGTGATTTGACCAATCACTTTGACGTACCAGACTAAGAGAATTTTCATATTTGGCCAATTATCTTCAGAACTGCTGGATAGATTTTCATGAAATTTAGTATGATCATAGGTGAACATATTACAAAAGAAATAACAATTTAACAGCTTTATATAATACATACACATGGTCATGCGTAACACGAAAGTTTTGAAAATATTGTTACTCATTACATAACCTATTCAAACTTCTTGCAGTTCAGTTATTCTATTCTAAACAGTAACTTAATCTTTTGTTTATATTTTAATGAGTCTTTTTCTTCTTTTCAGAGGATGATGGTTAGAATAATGAACTGAGAAGAATGAAAAAGTCACAGAACTACGTGTAACCCATAAAGATTATTCTCAAAGACACAGTTTAAATGCTCCTAAAGAGGACGAATGCATTACTTTCTTAAACACCTCATTTGAGTAAGGAAAAATAGCTTTTTTAATTTAAAAATGCACATAATGTTAGGCTCGCTAACAGGTGGCATTGGCTAACTGGCTGCATAAAAGAACAATAAGAAACTAAAAAAAATGGATTTATAAATAACTAATCGAAAGCAAATTTCGAAGTAACTTTGGAAGTCTCTCGACTATATGTTTCGATTTGCAAAGATGATACAGAATAAACGTTTTACGATGCCCACAGCTGTTACCAGTACTGACGGAAATAATCAATAATAAAATGAAAGAAAGAAATGCAAGAAACTATATGAAATACTTGAAACTGTATTTAACTATGTCTCCCGAACATAACTTGCAGCTCGTGATGAAAACTGAGAAATGACAAACGTACTTGTCATTGCTGTCTATTCTTTTGTTAAAACTTTTGTTTGTGGTATAACTTTAGAGGATTAAACTCAATCATGCTTTTTAGCTTGACTCTCAGTGTTTTCCTAGTTTTGGGAGGACACATTGTCTGTGACCAAAATGCGTGTCCACATTCATGTTATTGTGACGAAAAAAACGAGTACGTCAGTTGCGTAGGAGATGGACTTCAGCGGTATCCTGAAGATGTACCTGAAACAGCAGTGCGTCTTGAAATTCGCAATTACGTAGCTCCAGAAATTTCGTCAAAAGACTTCTCGCATTTATTGATTCTGGAAGAACTGAAACTTCAACAATCGCGCATAGAGAGTATCGAGAATTCTACATTCGCTATGAACGGTATACTTGGAAGTCTTGATTTAAGCCAAAATGCTCTTAGTATTCTTAATGCCCCTATTTTCAGAGGTCTTAATTATCTGCGTCATCTTGATTTGTCATCAAACTTCATCGACAGTTCAGATGACGCATTTGTCGATTTAATGAATTTGGAGCAACTGAACTTAAGGAACAACCGCCTATGCTCCTTAACAACGCATATCTTTAATGGTCTCCACAAGGTTCAATACCTGAACCTTGATGCCAATAACATTTCATCCATTGAAGTAGGTACGTTTCAGTACCTTACAAATCTCGCTCATCTCATCATCAGCAACAATCCCCTCGCCACATTCTCCAGACTTGACTTTTTTGGGTCGAGACTCCAATACATCGATATCTCACACGTGGGTCTCGACCGAGTTCCTCAGAGCTTAACTAAATTTGTTCGCGACTTGCGCCTCACCAAAAACAATCTCACTCACATCAGCGCTGGTGATTTCGATAGTTATCCCTACCTGGGACTTCTGGTGCTAGACGACAATTGCGTCAGTGAAATCGAGAACGACGCTTTGGGAAGGTTAGAATATCTCATGAGGCTGTGGCTTAATGGTAACTGCCTAACAAAAGTTCCACCTAACCTTCCACCCAGTCTCACCGCTCTTTACATGGAAGAAAATAAGTTGACTGACTTGTTCAGCTACAGTTTCAAAGGTTTGGAAAGGCTCGAAACTCTGTTTTTGCAAAGAAATGAAATTCGAAGTGTGCATCCGTGTGCGTTTTGTGATCTCGTGAATCTTAAGAGCCTAGATTTGCAGGCAAATAAAATCGAAAATCTGACTAATGGTGCATTTATGAACTTAACGCAACTTGAAACACTAGACCTGTCACAGAACAATCTCAAAGTTATTGAATCATACGCATTCAGTCCTCTGTCGAGATTAAGTACGTTACAGATGTCTAGGGTACCAACAGTTGTTGAAATAGGGGAAGGGATATTTGATTCCTTACACAATCTTTTGATTTTAGAAGTGTATGACAGTCTGCATTTAGTTCACGCTATCATCAACTCAACTCGTGTACTCCATGGTCTTCACAGAGTCGAAGAGCTCAACATAATGCACAACAGTATAGTCAAGCTGAGATCCGATTTTGCATCATTTTTCCCGGCACTGAAGGTAATAAAAATAAGTGGTAATTTATGGCATTGTGATGAAAGCATCAAATGGTTAGCTAACTGGATCAAGCAATCCAATGTTCAGTTTTACAGCAGTTATAATATTCGATGCTTCACGCCGTCAAACATACAGTTTAAACCTTTGATGATGCTAACTGATTCTGACTTCGATAGCTCTGCCGGAACGAGCAAGACCAAACAGGAAAACGTGCTAACATCTACTATGACGATATCTTTTCCAAGTCCCTCCATCATGACAACTCTAACAACACTAAAGGAATCTTCAGAGGATGATAATATAACAGCTATTGCTACCACTAATGTATCTACAACAATTCAATATAATAATACTGATTTAGACGCCAAAAAGCCAAATGTTTACGATTCAACACTTTTCGATACTTCAGAAGCTGTACTAAACAGTACAAACTTCACCTCTGGTGACGAGCATGTGATGTTGCCAAGAATTTCTGACGATTCTCGTGTAAATTCAGAAATGGAGAGTTTAAATTCAGGCAATGGCTCAGTCCATAGTCATTCCTTTACATATTCCAGCATACATGGCTCAGAAAAAAGTGTAGCTAATATTAGCTCAGATATTGTTCTTCTACAGAGGCGCATGCTGTCGTCCAGGCTGACAGAGACGCCTTACAGCTGGGACAGTGCTGTCACTGTTGTTGTCTTATCAGGGGGGTGTTTCTTACTGATCGTGATCGCATGCCACCTCCGTATAAGACAAAAACACGCCAATGTAAGGCGTGATAGTATTTCCTACTATCCTCAAAAGGATGAAGTGTCTATTGTAACGGACAGTGCCCGAGGTCAGTGTGGATTGGGGAGTAGGTTGTACTTTATAAAGGAAAACAGCACAAATGTTGTGGACTCAAGTAATGGTGACTCACAACTTCAAGAATTGCTGCTACCTAATTCATCTGTAGAAAATGGGTACCTTTACTGAGATTTCAGTTATGAAATCAATGTGTTTTTTTTTTCGATCAAAACTTTTTCCGAACCTGAATCATATTTTATACGGTAACCTTCACTGAAAATGAACTCTTCTTATCATATGGTACAAGAAGGAAGAACTTAAACATCTTTGTTTTAAAAGTATAATACAGTAGGCTCTCGAATATTCGCTGAATTGGGCAGCACGCCAACCGCAGATAATCCACAAAACGGTCAAAAATGCACCTCGTACTTGTTTTTCCTTGTTAAAACACCTGTTATTTACTTTTAACTGAAAGCTTTTAAATAACATTCTGTTATTACAAAAAAAATATAACAAATAAGTGCACAATAGTAGAAGAAATGTCAAAATGTCGATAGGATAGGAAACATATTCATAAACATATTTTTTATAAGAGCATCGTTACAAATATTATCTTTTTTTTCCGTTTCTAAAGACTTGCAAATGTTTGTATGAACAAATAGCATATTTAGCGTCTCCAGCAATCTGAGAGTTAAAAAAAAGTTTGATAACGATTATACAATAGCATTTCGTAGTAAGGTGTTAAACCCTCTTGTTCGCTGCCACTCATCAACCCCTTTGATTGTTTCCCACTGATTGTTACATAATACAGTTTTGTCTACGGAAGTTGAAATTTTTCTCTTGAAATATAAACTAAAAAGATTTCAGTTTTATGCTTGTGCGAGTTATTTAGAAAATGATACTCTTGGCCACCGCGGCGTTATTTATTTTATTTCTAAAAGCTGTGAGTGGCATCAGTTGGCTCGTTTTATATCTTCATGGAACGTTTTTGTTATGCACTTGTCATTAGTTCTTACCTGCTTTATTTATAATAAATATTTTGCCCTAGTTAATTCTTCGTATTTTATTTAATAATTTCAAACTCAATCTTTAATATTTTTAAACCCTGCAAGCTAGATAAGCTTTTAAAACCGTTTGCAACAAGTTACGAGAATTAAAATACAGATTCAGGAACTTGAGCCTCTATTTCCCACGTCCAAACATTTCCCCTATGATTCTATTAAGATCTATTAGTGTTTTTATTAAGATCTATTAGTGTTTTTATTAAGATCTATTAGTGTTTTTTATCATAATTTTGCTTAGTAATCCTTTTTTTCAATAACATTTAAAATTAAAGTTATATTGTTATAGTAAATTTAGTAAGTTCACAACCGTAATTTAATATTTTCACTTATCAAATAGGCTGATATATTAAAAGTAATTCGTGTATTCATCACATAGTGCCTGAAGCTAATCGTTAAGTTCTAAATAATTTAGAGAATCTCCTTACCTGTAATTTATAATAGTATATTAATGTAATTTGCACTAAAAATTAATAATTGTAGAACGATTAATATATTGAAACACCGATTTAAATAAGTTTATCTTAAAATGTAGCGTAATAAAGTAATATCATAAAATTACGTTATTATAAAGGAACAACTCTTTTAATTTTAAACTCTTAATTTAGAACTCAATCAAAATCAAATGAGCAATAATAACAAAGTAGTATAATTAAACTAAACAACACAGGTACCTTTAAATTAGGAGCACGAAATTATTTTATCGGAAAACGATACCTTTATGACTTCTATTAATATTGTGCTGATGACAACCAAAAAAATATGGAAATTAATGTTGGGAGCTAGACACAATCATGCGATGTTTCGTTAGGTAAAAATGCAGTGGCAAAGAAGGAAATCTTTGTTATACCATTATGATTTTATGTTCTATAGAGATGCAAAAATTTTTGTCATGGGACCGGCCACGGAAAATCGAGAGTTTACTGTGTTCTCATACGTTCTAAAACTTATGAATAGTTCATAAATTTATTTGTTCTGTAAAACTAATGATATTGCAAGGAGGTAAACAGGCAATAAAATGTCTTGCACTTCAAAGTCCTTTCCTCGAACATGAAAAATAAAAACAAGTGTTTTTACCATTTATTTGAAAAATTTGCACAGATAGCTCGCCGGAGCAACATAATAAACAATGTGTTGTAAACAGTTCGTGAACACTGTCTACAAAGAAAAAGAAATCACAAACTGAATATCATTAGCAAGAACTTCGCACCAAGGTTTTGGGGGCTTGTAATAAAGGAATGAAGATTTTAAACTGTGTGTATAACGCGTTAAACTTCAGTGATGTTGTATATTTCTGTATTATATCTTATTTTGAAGAAAAAAATGTAATTTTGAAACAATAGTGCAGTAATTTGATGATTATTAATTTATTCACGGTGAACTGTTTATAAATATACAGTGAAACAGTATTTCTGTAAATAATTAGAATGTGACAAAAACTATTAAAATATTATACCTTAATTTTTGTGTATTTCTTTCATCTGTGTCAGTCACTTTAAAATAAGTATACGATAGCAACACATAACATAACATTATTTATCAGATTCTCATAAGAGGATCATAAGGATTCATGAGATCCTCATAAAAGGATCATAAGACTCACAAGATCCTCATAAGGTACTCATAAAAAAGAGAGGATATAAGATGTAGAATTTCATATTTTATTTTATTTTATTACCGGTGTTAAACAGTCAACAAATTTCTTAGGTTTACAGCTATCAAATGTTTAACTTTGAAACATTATAATCTTTAACTGATGTCTGAAGACAAGGGAGCTCTAGAATAAAGCATTGATACAAACTAACCCTTGTGGAGGACTTTCTGATGGAAGTAATTCGCATTTACGCTAGGTGGTGAGGAAAGTCACGAAAATATTTCATGATTAGCCCGACGGCTGCGGGATTCTGTTTTACTACCCCATGAATTGTCTACCACAGAGGATATTTTACTTCAGCACTGTGGTTGGTCAGTAGAATTCGAACCAGCTTGCCACCACTGGGATTCGAACCTTGGTAGCTTTATTGGGAGGCGAACGCTCTATCTCTTGAGGCACCACTACTCTAGATGTAACATTTCAATAAATTTAACTTAATTCGAACATTTTATTAAGGAAAAAAAATTTCTGAAAAAAATTTAAGCAATATTAAACTTAGCTTACTTTTTGGTATGAAATGGAAAAGGAGTTTTTAAGAAATTGCATGCATTAAGAATAGCACAAGGTGCAGGCAATGACAGTTTTAGATAGATATTTCACGAATCCTCGTAAAAGATTACGGAAAAAAACTAAGCGAAAAAAGTTTGACAATTCACATTTGAAGTTAATATAAGCAATTATTCTAAAACGAGTTTATTTGAGGATTCCTGGTGAAATGCAAATTTATTTCTCTCAATAAACTGTTCTGATGGTTTTAATCCCTGCCTTGCTCTTCCCAGACACAATTGCCAATCATAATTTGAAAGCATTTTTTCTCATTTAAGTATATATTTTTAACTTTAACATACATAACATATTTTCATTATATTTTTTTATTTCCTTAACATATTTTCATCTTATTTTTTTTAAAGATCCGAAAATGATTCATTTTATTTTTAAAAACTATAAAACATTCATTTTATTTTTAAAAACTATTAAAGGTTCATTTTATTCATTTTTTTTTAAAGATGTATCATAGTCATCAATGAACACTACCAAAAAGCTTGTTCGTTTTAAATAAATACACATTTTTTTATATTTTTACCTTTCCAAACCCTAATAAGACATTATTAAGGTTCTACTGATCTTATTATAAAATATTTATCATGAGAAACGTCAGTGATAAATGTTATCAGACAGACGCAGGACGCACAGAAGTTTCTTAGAATTACAGGTGCATGATTGAACATTGTAAGATCCTCAGACGACAATATTTCCCAATAACATGAGCAGAGAATTGAAATTTTTAATTAATCTTGTAGTAAACATCGCAGGACAAAAATAAAGCTTTTTCTAAATCTTTTGCGGTAAGGAAAATACTATTCCTGGTTATAACCATAGAATAATAATTTATTCTACGAAGTTTAACAAGTAATTCTAGCAGGGAGAACGAGAAAATCAACTTTTTAGCCCAAATCAACTCTTTGGAAAAAATTGACAACAGCCAAGGATAAATGCTGGTGGGTATAAAATGCTACTTTTATGGTTTATCAATGAGTAATGCATTATTTTATAATTTTATAGCTGACATTAAGCAGCCAACCTAATTCTAAAATTTGATTCTTCTATCATTGTTCAACTTCATAGTCTCGTAATTTGGTACCCAACCCAGAAGACAAGGGAATTCCTGGATAAAGCATCGATGGGATGAACGGAAGTCTGATGGAACTCTAAAAAAAAAAAAATTAAAAAATAATAATAATAATAATAATACAAATTCGTTATAAAAAAATACCCTTTAAGAGAGGAATTTTTTTTTATTTTATTCAAGTTACATTTTTTATTCAAATTTAATAATTTAATTCTAAAATTACAGTACAGTAAAGGTCAAACTAAGCACTTCAGTAACATTCACTGATTTATGAGATTTCTGTTATCTTAGCCTAAAATATTTAGCTCTAAAAGCTCTTACCTTACTTTTAATTCCATAACAGGTAAGCTTAAAGATTTTGCCTTTTCCAAGATGCCCATTAATAGAACTTTGTCATCGTTGGCGGGGCGGGTAACGGTAGGTTTTCGTCCTCCTTCACAATTAGAATTCTCTAAAACTCCCCATCAATATTTCGAACAAATAAAGAAAATTTTCATCTATTAATCCTCATCGAATTAATTAATTTATTCATTCATCATTTATTGTACAAATCCTCTCTTTAAATTCATCAAAGTATTAAAAAGAAGAAAGAGTCAAAAATAATTAACCTCTTTACAGATATTTTTTTTTTCTTAAGTGTAAAATTTTGAGAACTATTGAGACAGTAGTTAATTTTCGTTCCCGTCAAAAATGGGACCTCTGCGGCGACGCTCATATAACAGAAGAAAGCATTTTTTAAATGGTTTATTTTGATACACTATAACAGAAGAAACATTTACATGACAGAAGAAACATTTTTTTTAAATGGTTTATTTTGATACACTATAACAGATGAAACAATCACATAACAAAAGAAACATTTTTTTTAAATGGTTTCTTTTTATACACTATAAAAAATTTCTCAAAAAAAAGTAAATAACTATTTGTTCTTATTTTACCATATTCAACCAATACAAATTACCATTAAAAAAATATGTTGTTCAAACTGTTAACTGTGAGAAAAATTATTCATTAACTATTTTCACAAAAAATGATTAAACAACCAGAGTTTTATCCACGCCAATTTGGCCCACCTTATGAAGTCTCTTAGTTTGTTGAAGCTGAGTACATACTATACAGCCGAGAGGGCTAATCTGTCAATTACAGGACTGACTGCGCCGGGGTTCGAATCCTAGTGTTGACACCATAATGCCACGTGTCACTATTCTTTGACAAAACGCAACTCAACCACAGCCTAGCTTCAATATCCAATCCATTACATAGCCTATGTCCAATTAAATTCAGCTTTAAGGTTTTGAAGACATGCTATTTACATATGATTTCCAAACCATATAATTTTGTATTCACGGTTTTTTGAACGTACAAGTTGTAAACGGTTGGAAAACCGTAAAGGTAAAGAATTGTTCCTAATTGTAAACTTTACGGTTAATCAGATAGACAAACTGCTGCCGGTTACTTTGCCGTTATTTTAGAATGTAAAGTCTAAAAGAGTGC